TGTGTGTGTGTGTGTGTGTGTATGTATGTATGTATGTATGTATGTATGTATGTATGTATGTATGTATGTATGTATGTATGTATGTGGAGGTTGTCATGTCATTCTCTGCCCCCTTTGGCTTGTTTCCATTACAGGATTCAGTACTACCCTTCCATCATCTTCTTCCCAGCCATCAGCGGCAAGGTGGGGGGAGGAGAGAGATGGGGAGTGGCAGAGATGTATGTATGTATGTATGTATGTGGAGGGCCCCTTGTCATTCTCTGCCCCCTTTGGCTTGTTTCCATTACAGGATTCAGTACTACCCTTCCATCATCTTCTTCCCAGCCATCAGCGGCAAGGTGGGGGGAGGAGAGAGATGGGGGTGGCAGTGGCAGAGGACACCAGTGGCAAAGGCTGGCCTCTTCCCTGTCCCTTAGCTGCAGCCTTCCTGCCCAGCAATGTGGTGTGCAGGAGGGACACGGTGCCCTGGGGCTATTTCGTTCAAAAGTGAGACGGGGAACCACAAAGACACAACAGATAGAACAGTCCTGGTGGCGCCTTTGCAGTTCTAACTCTTCAAGCAGCCTGCTTGTCCACATTTCTCTGAAACGATGAGAACTAGAAACGTAATTCAAAAGAAAAGGAAGCAGAGAGCCTTTCGGGATTCTGTCATGCCTTGAAGAATCCCCGGTCAAGGTAGCCAGGGACGTTGCCTGTGCCCTGCGATGCTGAGCCCACGGCTTATACCCGCCCCAGTCCTTTTTGCAGCAGAGCCCACCACCTAGAGAAGAATCGAAATCAAGGCCCTCCTGGTTGAGAAGGTTGTTCTGCAAGAGTCTTTCTCGTCAGGGCGGGAAAACACGCCTGTGCCCACATGCAGGGGGCACACGAGCGAGCGAGAGGCTGTACAGACCGGTCCTGATCACAGTTTTCTACGGGAAGGGATTAGAGAGGAGCTGTGGGTGGCCAGGAAGTGGAGTGGTGACGACCCAGGTTGAAATGCTGGTGTTTGTTGTTGTTGTTGTTTAAAGATTGGTGTAACTTCTTGACAATTCCTGAGTGCGATTCCCCGTCGTCGAGGCACACAGAGGGTCCCTTGGTGGGCTGCCAGGGCCGGGCCCGTTCCAGGTCCCTTTACGAATTCTTCTGGGGAATCTTTATGGTCACTGTCTTCACTTCCGAATATTCCCGCAGTCCACACTCGCCCCTAGAAAGGAGCAGAAAGTACACACGTGGGAGGGGGCAGCGCAGGGGGGAGCAGACCAGCACCCTGCCCCGCTTCACATGCACACACACCCCCAGCAAGCGGGCCAGGGAACGGTTCACCTGCCCTTGCTTGGGCCACACCGAGGACCACAGAGAGGGCGGCCCCTCCTCTCCCCCCCCACCCCCCCGCCGGGCACAAGCCATCAGTCAGAAAAATGGAGTGATGA